GGGATCGCAACCCTCAGTGTCGCCCCCGTACCGGACTGGGACCAGCAACGGGATCGCAACCCTCGGTGTTGCTCCCGTGCCTCGCTCAGCCAGTGAGCGGGAACCGGTCTGTATGTGGGATCCGAACCCTCGGCGGGAGCGCTGCCGCGCTTCCCAAGCGGCGCACTACAGCATTCTGGACTTCTTTAAATCCATCAACCATAAAACCACCAGATGATGAAGTACTGAAAATGAAAATCTGCTTGAACCTGTGCTTGGTGCTCCTTTGCCTAAAGCATAAGCTCCTAACTCCTTAGCATGTCATTGAAAGTTCTCTGTGACCTGGATCACGCCTACCTCTGTAGCTTCACTGTTGCCACTTCCTGCCATGTTTTATGCTACAGCAGTAATGAATGTGTGCTTGTCCCCACCTGTACCTTTTGCTCACGGTATCCCTTTGCTAGCTGTTTTCTCTCCTGCCTGAATAACTTCACATATCCTTTCAGACTGGGCTTGGTGGTCACCGCCACGTACCTCCCTCTTAGACCTGTGTGGGAAGCACTCCTCACTGCTCCCCTGTTGTAGCTCTTCTTGTTTTTACCGCTGTTTTATAATGTTTCATGTTTGTGTCCGTGGTTGCCATTAAATTGTGGAGTCGTTGAGGGCAGGGAGCGAGTCTTATTGATCTTCATCTCCTGATGTTGCACCTAGAGGGAATTCAGTGAATGCTTGCTAATGGCACTTAAAAACTTGGAAATAATTTATTCTGGGAAGTAGAACATTAGTCAGCCTCATATCTTCTTCATGAAGCTCTTAATTCATGGGCGATGTAAAGAATGAACCATCATAGTGTAAATTACTGGGACTGTATTAGTGAAATTTTACTCAAAATAATCACTTAAACATTTTGTAGGGGTTTTTGTTTGTTTGTTTGTTTGTTTTGGTAGGAGGTTTAAGGGCATGGAGGTGGTAGAAATACCATTTTACCGAGCCAGGATTTTTTTTTTTAATCATGGTCCTCCTGGGGGAAAAACCAACATCTTTTCAGATGGGCTCTTCTTCTACCCTTGACTTAAGTGTCCTCAGGGCTCCAATGTCCGAGGCCCTTTTCTCTCATTGTGCCAGTTCTTCCTGGGTGGTTCTGTCCTTTTCCTTGGTCTAAATGCTTATGACTCCCATGTCTCTCTTGAGCATCAGACTGGTATGTCCAACCACCTATTGGACAGGTCTCTGTTTATATGTCCTAAAAGGGCACCTCAAACTCAACCTGTTCCAAAGGGAAGTCATTATCTCTCCCCTCACGTCTGTCAGCTTCCTGTGTCTCTGTCTCAGCAAAGGGCACTGTTGTCCACTGAGTTGTGGAGGCCAGAATTCTGGGCATCACACTTGACTCTTCTAGCTCCTCAAACTTTTTATCCTGAGGATTCTGGCTTCTATAGATATAGGTCAGATCCATCCACTTTGCTTCATGTCCACTGTCACTATCCTGTCCTATGCCACCGTTATTTCTGCTCCTTCAGGTTTAACTCTTTAAGTCATTTTCCAGGCTGCGGTTATGAGTTTCTAAGACATACTGTTGCCGTTCCCCTATGTAAAGCTCTTAAGTGTTCATTGTTCTTAGGGACAAAAATCTTCCAGATTTTTTAACATGTAGCTTACAGGGTTGTTGTTACTGCAACATATTGTTTTCAGTTTCTCTTAACTTTTTTTCTTAAATGTTCCTCATTTTCTAGCCTTAGCCAACTATTCTTTCTGTCCAGAATACTCTCTCACACCCCACTTAGTCTGGTTAACTGTTAATTATCATTCAGCTGTTGGCTTATATATTATTTCTGCCAATGTCCTTGCTTGTTATCCTAATTGTTTTCTGCCATAGAATCTTGTACTCTTATGTCATAGCTTTATGTTGTATAGTAATTTCTTAACTCTCCCGTGGGACTGTAAGTTCCATGAAGGCCAGGATTGTCTGTGTTTTGTCAGCAGTGGAATCCCAGTGCCTAATACGGAACTTGGAACATGGCATAAAGTCAGTATTTTTGTGCATGAATGACTTATTTAGCATTTTAGCCGTTTACTCTTATGACATCCTTTTTGAAATTCAGTTCTTAGAAAAAGCTCACATTCTGATTTCTGGATGTGTCTATAGTAGAACCTCAATTCAATTCAAAAGAGGTTTTCTTTAAGGAGAAAGATATGTAGCTAATAAGAAAATAGACTTGGCAGGATTAATTTATAAAGCAACTACTCCATCCTGGTCTCATATGCCTTGTGCACCTGACAAAAACTGGTATTAAGAATTCCCATTTCAAGATATTAGCTATTCAGTTTTGTCCAATATGTTCTTTATTTCTTCATGCATAAAATAGAATATTTGTTTTGGTTAAGAGCTTGGATTCTGGAGTAAGACTTAAGTGGGTTCACATCCTGGCCACACTTCTTACTGGCTCTCTGAGCTTGATGAAGATAGACAACTTTTCCTAGCCTCAGTTTCCACCCATGTGAAATGAGGGTATTAATAGTACCCCCTTGGCCATGGTGATGGTGTGACGATTGAAGGAAGAGATGGATAGTCAGCTCTCACTGCAGTGCTGGAACATATGAAGAACTCAGTAAGTTATCTGTGACCTCTCTAATTTTAATAAGATTTCAGTGTCTCAGTTGAAAGAAAAAAAGTGTTGAAGGTCATAAAACTATCAGCTAAAAAATTCAATTTATCGAAGAAACCAATTGAGTTTCTAGTTAACAGAAATATAAATGAAATTTTCACCATGAGTTATACTTTGTCATGCTTTCCCCAAGAATACCAGTTTCCAACAGTGAATGTGAGATAGCATACTTTCTAAAAAAGTGTCCTCCAGGCAGTGGGAGGTATATTTTGAATGTAGCTATTATTTTTTTCAGTTAAAACTGAGAAAGTATAGTGTTGGGAAAATTAGTTTTATGTGCCCCACAAGGGTTTCTTTTATCTTCTTCAATAGGTTAAAATCAAGAAACTGTTAAGATTAGCACAGCTAAATAAAATAGATTACACCTTGGTAGAAAATGAGTGCACCTGCTTAAAAAAAAATGGTGTTTGTGTGTGTATGTGTGTAGTCTCTTTAAGACTTTTTGTGGAGATGCAGTATTCTGAATTTTCTACTCACCTGTTTTTCTTTGCTGGTGGAGTTGAAAGATTCTTTCCTTTATTGTAACCTTACCAAAATCTATGGTATGTGCAAACCTAACACAAGTGCTAGGTTTCAGTCCAGGGTGTGTTCAGATATGCTTCATCCCACAGCACTGAATATGGGATGGGACTTCAGGGTAGGACTGGTTTTCTATGTACCTTCTATTTAAAGAGATGAGAAATATGAAATATCCCTTTAATCAGATGCTTACTTTTTGTTTTATGGTGATTAGTAACCACAAAGAAAGTAAATACAGCTCAGTCTTTCCTCAAAATGTACTTTGAATTAACAATCTATATTTCTAGTGCAAATGTAATGAGTTAAGATAAAATTTTAAAAAAATGAAAGCCAGTCTAATCCTAATGTAACAGGCCAATTCATTTCTTTCCCCCTCCCCCAGAGCTGACTTTTTTGAAGATGAGGCAGTTGAACAGGTTTTGAAGTATAATCCTTGGTGGATGGATACATATTCAAAAATGATAGCTTCTTTAGGAAAGAGTGAGGAGCAAGAAGATCATGCTGCATTAGGTAAGAAATTCAAAATTAGGCTCATTTGTTTAATTTTAAAATCTCACAGTGTATCAACTTTCCTGCCTTCCCTGTTATTAAGCATATAATTGTAATTACCTCATAATGTGAAAATATGATTTTGGGATTGCTAATTTTGGAAATGAGGTCTTTACCCTTGACTGGAAAATGCCACTAAATAATTAGACTCATTCGTGTTAGAAAATTCTTTTGATGTATATTTTCCTTTAAATCATTGGAGTCCTTTTAAAAATTTGTATTTTTTTTTTAAGTAAATTTAGGAATACCGACACACAGATTTGTAGTTTCTGATCAACCTACTTGGGAGATATGAGCCTTCCTCTGTAGTAAGGTCATTTGAGAATTAGTAATGGTGGGAAAAGACCCAGTTCTTACTCCCTTTCTCTGCTGAATGATTTTGATATGTCCTCCCCAGTTTTTTTTCCATGTGGTCTTGTGAGGAAGCAGGAGTAGTTATCCTCATATCCATACCTTACAGAGAGCAGGTGGGCCAATTTTTACCAATGAAGGCTGAGCTGGGGGGTTTTCTGAGCCACAAGAGGTGGCTGTGCCATACTTAATATTAAGCCAAACGTTATCCACAGAGAGTTCTTTCTTAGGCGGACATGTTATTACTGCTTTCTCTATGTACAATGTCAGTATATTAAGTCTGTAAATTAGAATTATAACAGTTTCGGATCAAGAATAGAAAGCCCACGTTTTCTGTCATACTGATTTGGCTTTTATTTAAATTTTAGTGTTTAAATGAAAGGAATACACACACATATGTACATTCTTTTTATTATTTTATTTTATTTTTTTAAAAGATGACCAGTAAGGGGATCTTAACCTTTGACCTGGTGTTGTCAGCACCACACTCTTCCAAGTGAGCTAAGCAGCCATCCCTATATAGGGATCCGAACCCGTGGCCTTGGTGTTATCAGCACCGCACACTCCCAAGTGAGCCACGGGCCAGCCCTTATACATTCTGAAGAATATTAAATGGAGTGTAGACTTCCCACCCTAAGTTGCTCTTCCAAAAAGTAATCACTGTTAAAGGTATTGGGTGTATTTTTAAAATACATGTACTCACATCTGAATATTTGCTTTAAGAAATTTATGCACAAACTTGTGTACAGTGTTCTTACCTGACTTTTTTCAGTTTGTGGTATATGTTGCAGATCCTGCATATCAGCACTTACAGATCTACCTGAAGCTTTCGGTGGCTGCCTAATATCCTGTTACATATTTGTATCATGACTGGTGGGCATTTGGGCTGTTCACAGTTTTCTGCTTTGCGAATAACACAGTGGCCTTCTTTGGTCACTCAGTCTGAAATAGCTGTAGGGTCTGTATTGTATCACAGTATTTTGATTCTCTGCATAGCAATGCCTGTTATCTGCTCATTTTTCAGTGTCTAGTGTAGTGCCTGTTATGTAATAAGTACTCAATAAATATTTATAGAGTAAATATTATAAATATTTTTGTGGTTAGGTTTCTTAGAGTTAGGTGATTTCTACCCGATTGAGAAATTGCTACCGTAATCTTTTTTTTTTTTTTTTTTTCCTTTTTGTCTTTTTTCATGACCGGCAACGGATCGCAACCCTCAGTGTCACGCCCGTACCGGCCCGGGACCGGCAACGGGATCGCAACCCTCAGTGTTTCTCCCTGCACCTCGCTCAGCCAGTGAGCGGGAACCGGTCACCCTCAGTGTTGCTCCCTGCACCTCGCTCAGCCAGTGAGCGGGAACCGGTCACCCTCAGTGTTGCTCCCTGCACCTCGCTCAGCCAGTGAGCGGGAACCGGTCTGTATGTGGGATCCGAACCCTCGGCGGGAGCTCTGCCACGCTTCCCAAGCGGCGCACTGTAGCAGTGCGCCACCAGGCTGGCCCGTAATCTTTTAGAAAATAGAGGATCGGCTTTATTGCATAACAGAAACTCATTTATAATGACTCCTGTTATATTTATTGTTTTCAACAAATCCTGGGTTTTATATTTGATTTGAGTTAAGCTTTTAGAGTCTTCCCACATTATATAGACTAATTTTAGGGTATACAATTGCTAACACAATTTAGCTAGTTAAAACTGTTTATGCCATGTAGATCTACTCAGAAAGTTTGCTCAGACTTACATCATCAAGGATGTCAACTGGCCCGAATCAGTTTGCCCAGTTTTAGCACAACACTTGAATGAGGTGGGGTAGTAGGAAATTGGTGGCTGTGTAGTTGAGTTTTCTGTCCACCAGGGTGAGCTACTTGCCCTAAAAATCAAGAGAAGACATTCCCTTTGATTTAAATTCTAACTTGCTCTACTTTGATAAATTGTAGCTTGTTCTCAGTCCAGTTTTCTGTGTCAGCAGAGCTTTGAGTTAGTTCTCTATGTGCAATTTTAACAGGAGATTAAGCCAGTCCGTCCTTTTAACCACTGGCCTTCCTGATCCTTCATCTGACCCATGGCTTACAGCCAGGCTGGTGCTTCAGGAACAGTCATAGTCTGTTAAGCCATTATGATGATTCATTCTAAAAAAAATCACCTTTAAAAATAGCAAGGGCATGCGATCTAAGGTAGGAGAACTTGAGCTCTGTGTTGAACAGAAAGTACCTCTTCTGATATGCCATTTATAAGGTTAAGTGTAGGATATAAGCTAAATATGAGGTTTGGGGTTTAACTCCTTGCTTCACCACATGCTAGCAGTGTGATCTTGCAACTTTGGGTTGCTGTGGAAATCCTATACCTACTTCAGAGCAGTCGTGAGGATTGAGTGAGATGATGTATTTAAAATCCTTAGTATATTGTAAATGTTAGAAGTATTACTATAGAGGAACATCAGTGTTAGGAGAGTCAGGAATTGAGTGGTTTCTCTGTGAAATTATAATTTTTGCACATTTGCAAAGCTTTTAAGGGAAAGTTCGTTGTTAACAAGATTTTTTTTTCTTGTTTAAATATTTGAGACACCCAGAATTGGAGGAATAAATTGAAGTGTTGTTGAACCTGGGTAAGATATGGGAGGGAAGAAATAAACCAAAACGTAAACTTTAAAGTTCTCTGTTTACCTGTGGTGCATGGTGCTGCTGTAACTTTCCTCTCCTCTTCCTCTTTGTTCATCTTCGTTTCTCTGGCCCACTTCCTCTTTGTGTCATAGCAGTGGGCTGCAACCTCTAATGCTCCCTTATCAGAAACTGCCAGAAAGATATCAGGGTACTTTAGAAAGTTTGTGGAAAAATAGACTTAAAAGATAATACGAATCTTTCCATGAACTTTTTGAAGTACCCTTGTATAACAGTGCAGGTGAAGGGTACACATGTGATTCATCCTTCATCATAAAATATTAACTGGGATTGTTTTGAATTCCAGATAAGCTGTAGGCAGTGAACTTTGCTCCCTGTCTTTGCGTTCATAGTGATTCTTGTCATTTTCATCGTAGTCCTTAGTTACAACATGGAGACTTTTCTTCAGTTTTGTAATGATCCAGATTTTCCTCCCCAAAGACTTGTAAATGGAAGTGTTAAGTGCTGTGCTTCCCCTGAGCTCTGGTTTCATGAGGATGGACTTACCGCATTTCCCATGTTGTCTTTCAGTGGTTAATCTCAGCCCAAGAGTCTTGGCATATTATTGCTTGTTATGACACCACATAACATTTATAGTCAATGAATTTCCTAGCGGGGACATCCTGTTTGGCACCAATGAGCCCTTCAGTGTTTGTAGAGATTACTGTCAGTGTCAGCTTTGGAAGTTGTAGCACTGCAGGGCTACCCATTGAAGCTGAAGGTTTGAATGCAGCACATTTTCTTCTGGTTTCCTTGATCTGTTTCCAGTAAGTGCACAATGTAATAGGCAGATGTGCATTACTCTGAGGGGAGCCAAATCGTGGATGAGATAATTGTTGACCCCGCCAAGACTGGGATGTTTGGGAGGGGGATTTAGAGAGGAAGGGAAGATTTAAAAGTAACAAAATTAGAAGGTGTTTGGGAGAAAAAGTGACCACCTCACTAACATCTGTTCATTTTGATGGGAGTCCCTTTGCAGTCCTTAAACACTTTGGTGGGGTTTTTAATGTTGGGAGGCAGTCCTGGGCCATTTGCTTCAGTGCTGGGGCATCAGTTTCTTCCCCAAACATATTGAACTTTCAGCTGGCTTTTCTTTCACTGTAGATTATTTTTAGAAGTATAATTAACTGGAATGTTGTGAACTGTATAGCAAAGCTGCTTTGTAGTATAGCTAAGTCATACAAATGCTTGACAAATGTTACTCGTGGTGGCAATCATCCAAGTATTGTTGGCACTGCATCTGTAGTTACTTCCAGTACTGCTACTAGGTCAGACCTGATTGTGTGCAAACCTCCACAAGTTCCCCTTTGGGTGATATGATTTACAGCTCCAATAAAAAAGGCCTTAGGGAGTTCACTCTTGTTTCTCTAGTGATTTCCTGTTTGTTGTTGTTATTTATCATCTCTGGTTTCTTTGCTTGGATTTCAGAATTTAAATGTGCTTGTATATTATTAATGAACTAAGTAGGCCAGAATGGAGCTTAAAAATGCTCAGAAAAAGGTGGTGGTGTTTTAAGGAAAAGCTAGGGGTGCCTAGCATCCAAGAATTTGGAAGAGTATATGCAAGTAGGCTTTTCTTATGCATACAGTTATTGAAAGTAATTTATAATATGTAGCAGGAGTTACATGTGTGTAATGTAACATCAGAACCTATAGTGCCCAGGTAAACCTTTACAGATGGTTAAATATATATAGGTATGATTATTTCACAATGAAGCCATAAACATGCGGAAGAGTTGATGTGTTGCTAAATGGTTCTGTGCATGCTTACTTTGTGATTCAAAATTATGTGGAAGCAGAGGTCTTTATTAGTCAAGTAGGATATAAAGGTTTTTCCTCTAGTGAGATAATAGCATCATGAACCCCTGGCACTTTCCTATTAGCTAAAGTAATGGATGTTTCAAAAACTATACCTAAGGGAATACTGTCTGAAACCTTTTCCCTCAATACAAGGGATATAGAATACCTTGTCAGGTATATTTTCTTCATGCAGTGATTATGTTCCTTCATGGAGTTTCCTTACATCAAACTGCTTAAAGTAAACTGAGAACTTCTATTTAAATTAAGGGATCAATCAACATATAGTTTATCTGTTTTATTAATTTCATTTTTAAATGTTAGTCGCTAAAGAATGTTTCTCCTGACACCTACCTGCATTATTAAGTTTTAAAAAATACACAGTTCTTTACCTTGCTACTTAGCAAATTAAATACATAGTCATAGTTATTTGTTGTTTATATAAGCATTGCTTGTACAAATACGTTTCTTCTTTTTTTTTAATGTAGGATTGCTAATGTGGTTGGAAAAATAATTATATAAATATATTTCAAAACCTGTTTTTTGTAGTAAGTACATTTTAATGGATGAAAAGAGTATTGCTTCTAGTAATTTAAAATAAGTATGTTTAAGATTTTTTCCCCCAGAGGATAGGCTGCAGAACTGCTGGAAGTCTTAAAAAGAAGCCATGTTGAACTTAATGCTCATAAAATAGGACAGAAGTGAGTTTGGAAAATTATATGTGAAAAAGGTTCATCATGTGTGAGTAATCATATTCTCTTCCTTCAGGCTTTTGCCAAGTTGTGATGAGCAGAAAGGCAGTCTTTTGTTGAGCAGAGACGTAAGGGGACTGGGAAGCTAGCTATCAACAGAGTGGTTTGGGAATATCGAAAAGGCAGTTTAATAATTTTTGGTCTCTGAAAAAGTGGCAGAGACAGCCAGGTATCTTTTCATAGTTCTTCTCCCCCTTTTTTAGGCTGAGGCCTTCCTTCTTGAGTTATAGCTGGGCACATGACCACTCAGCTAGTGACTACCTTTCCTTTCCTTCCTTGAAACTGGGTGGGATTGTGTGACTGAGTCCTGGCCTGTGGGAAATCAGTAGGAATGATCTTTGCTCTTTCTGGATTGAGTCTTTAGAAAGAAAGTGCTGGCAATCCTCTCTACTTTCTGCTTTCCCATTAGTTAGGAAATGGTAAAAACCTGAAGGAGTTGTCTTGGTGGACCCATAGATGGAAGTTATATGATGGGGATGCTGATGCCCAACAAGCCCTGAATCATTTACCCTGGATAGCAGCATGACAGAGAAACTTCTATCTTATTTAAGCCACTGTCTTTCAGGGTCTCTTTGTTACAGCAGTTTAGCGTGTCTTTACCTAAATATAGCGGACATTTCTAAAACCTGTAGAAAAAGACCTGAAAGTTATTTTGACATTACTTGGATATGAAGCACCAGAAACAGAAGCAGAATGCTCCTCTTTACTGGGATGGAAAATGTTTTAAGTGAATTTGAAAGTGATTGTCTGATAGGGGACAGAAGGAAAATTAAGAATTACTTTGTAAGATAAGAGACTGATAACACATTTATTTAGAGGTAACTAAATATCTAGATGCTTAGGTTTCTTTAAAAATTTCTCTGAGACAAGTGGTAGGCCATGTTTTACTTAGAATAGTTAGGAACTGAGCGTAACTATATTTTTAGCTGTTATTCTTTCTATGTCTTGCTCTAAGACAAGATATATTTTACTTCATATGTATAGCAATGAGTATAATAATACTTAGGTTTTGTTAATGTGAGAAGATGCATAATTGGATAGAAAAGCATGTTATATGATCTCTTGTCTATAGGAAGACCTGATATTAGGACACTACCGCATGGTAGTTTGCCTAAATTGTAGAAGGAAATACAATCTTATACTCGCCTTTATGTACACATAAAGTATTGTGTTTTATCATTAGCATTTATTAAGTATTTCAGTTTGTTGTTTAGGTCTGTGTAGCCAACATTTGGTAAGGTGACTGATACGTAAAAAGAAATAGCTTTTCTCTTTTATCAAGAAGTACTTAGTAATAGAAATGGAAAAAAAAGTACTGTATTCACACAGACAAAAATAGAAAATACTTTGAAGTAATTTTTAACAAGAAAGTAACAGATCTGTATGACAAAGTTGGTGGTTCAATACGGTGGGCAAAGATGGACTACTGAACAAGCTGTGCTGGCACAATTAACTGTTCCTCTGGAATAAACTGAAATCTTAGAACATAAGAAAAATAACTTACAGATGGATTAAAGACTTGAATGTAAAAAATGAAACAGTAAATCTTAAAGCAACTTCATGTAGAGTTCAGGGGTTGGAGAAACCTTAACCAAGGCTATACATCCATATGTTTAAAAAAAAAAAAGATGGACATATTTGGCTACAAAAATAAATAAATATTTCATTGTCAAAAGTTGCCATAAACAAACTCAATAGAGATATAGTAGATTTGTAGAGATGATTAGGGTTTATGTCTCTAATATACAAAGAGTTCTTTAGAAAAAATAAATAAATATTTCATTGTCAAAAGTTGCCATAAACAAAGTCAATAGAGGTATAGTAGATTTGTAGAGATGATTAGGGTTTATGTCTCTAATATACAAAGAGTTCTTTAGAATTGGACAAGATAAGCCATCCAGTAGAAAAATTTAGGCAAAACACATTCAAATAGGTAATTCACAAGTGGGCAAATCTAGATTGCAAACAAACCTATGAAATAATGCTCCAAGTTTAGCAGTTAGAGAAATACTAAGTGAGGTGAAAATGATGTAGCATCGTTTTAGTTTTTTCTTGCTGTATGACAAATTACCACAAGCTTCACACTGCATATATCTGTAATCTTTCAGTTGCCATGACTCAGGAGTCAGGCTTGGCGTAGCTGTGGGTCTTCTGCTCAGGGTCTTGCAAGGCTGTAAACAAATATGAGGCTACTCCAAAAAGTTCATGGAAAAATAGAATTGAAAGATAATATGAATCTTTCTGTGAACTTTTTGAAATTCTCTCTATTTTCCATCTTTTTTTTTTTTTTTTTTTTTTTGTAGGTGTTAGTGGCTGCATTCTTTTCTGAAGCTCAGGGTCCTCTTCCAAGCTCACACGATTGCTGACAGAATTTCATTCCTTGCGCTGTAGAACTGAGGCCCCTGCTTTGTTGATGGCTGTCAGCTGGGGGCCACTGAGAGATCTTAGAGGCCCCCCAAGCCTTCTCCTCACAGGCTGTGTCATCACATGACATCTTTTCTTTTTTTTAAAGATGACTGGTAAGGGGATCCCAACCCTTGACTTGCTGTTGTCAGCACCACGCTCTCCCAAGTGAACTAACTGGCCATCTCTATATATGGATCCGACCCCATGGCCTTGGTGTTATCAGCACCACACTCTCCCAAGTGAGCCACAGGCTGGCCCCCACATGACATCTTTTCTTTTCAAAACCAGTTGGTGAGTCCCTGGCTCCAGCCTGCTAACAGTGGAATGTAATAATCAGCACGACTGTCCCATCACCTGTGCCATATTCTGTTGGCCAAAAGCAAGTCAAGAGCGCCATGTGATGTGACTCACTGAGGGTTGTCTTAGATTTCTGCCTATCACAGTCACTTTATATCTATTATACTGGAAACGATTGGAAAAAAGCTATTACATTTATTGCCAGGAGGAAGTGGGGTGTATGTGTAGGAAGGGGAACTTCTATCCGTGAAGGATAGTTATTGTAACTAGGAGAGTTATTGTAACTTTTAAAAACAGATATACTTTTTGACCCAGTAAATCTCTTTTATTTATGGAAATAAGGCCTCTAATATCCAAGGGCATATGACAAGGACGTTTATTGCACCATTATTAGTGGCAGAAAACTAGAAGCAAAGTGAATACCCATCAGCAGGGGGAGTGGTTGGATAGAACATGGCACATCACGGAATATTAATCTCCTTTACAAAAATTAGCTACGTATCAGTTGACTTGGAGGAATGTGCCAAAGGTGTCGTTGAATGAGAGGGGCTAGATGGAGAAAAATAACCTAATTCTTTGGGGGAGGTATGAACTCCTTAGTATATGATTACATGGGAGCAGAGAGAACTATGGAATGATATATAGTAGATTTTTAATGTGGGGGAGGCTGTTGATGAAGATGAAGGTGAAGAGAGGGTACTAAGCAAAAGGCGAAAAGGACAAAGAAACTGTGTTAAAGAAACATCCACTTTCCATAAGTCTAGTATGTGTGATATGGTCACATTTGTGTATTTGAGCATGTGAAACTTTGTTTATATGGGTAACAAATAGTGAAAAAATAAATACTATGCCCTTAAAGTTGATTAATATATGAGAATATTCCTATTTCTTTGTATAGAACTTTCAAAATGGGTGATGAGTATTTTCAGTGTTCTATTTAGCTATCGTAGTTGACCCTTGAACAACACAGGGGTTGGGGCACCAACTCCGCCTCCAGTCAAAAATCCACATATAATTTTTAACTCTCTCAAAACTTAACTGATAGCCTGCTCTTGACCAGAAGCCTTACTGATGACATAGTCAATTAACACATATTTTGTATATGTATTATGCTTACAATAAAATAAGCTAGAGAAAGTACATTTCCAGTACTGTACATTTATTGGAAAAAAAAAATCCCATATAAGTGGACCTGTGCAATTCAAACCCATGTTGTTTAAGGGTCAACTGTTCATGTCTTCTGTTGTCAAAATGTATTATCTTAATTTTAAGGTCAGTAACTCTGGCATTTAGATGCCTCAAATACAAAACAATGTAGCAAAAAAGGGGGGAGGGGATCTAGAAATAACAAATTGATATTGTTTGGGAATGTCTCCTTTATATAGCCCCACTATGGATAGGGCAAATACATAGCCCTTAATAAAACTGAAGTCTACTTTTAAAATGTTGTTTATATATCCACAGTTAAGTAAAAATAGTTTTGCTTCAGTTTCTATAATTAAAAGTTCTGATTCTGACAAATCTTCCACATTGAAGGTTTTATAGCACTGAATGGAACATCTGATTTTTAAATGCATTTTCTTCTAGTGTCTTTTTCTGAGGAAGAGAAATACCAGCTACGAAAATTTGTCAGTAAATCTTATCTTCTGGACAAGAGAGCCCATCGTCAAGTGTACTACAGTTTGATTGATATCCTTCTGGCATACTGCTATGAAACTCGTGTCTCTGAAGGAGAGAAGAATGTAAGTGCATGTGTGTTGGTGTAGATTACTGTATCTTAGTATTTACCTGCAAGTGTTCAATTCATATAGTATGTACACTTCTGAAAAATTGTATGTAAATCAGATTTTTAAAAACTCGAATCACACTTTTTTTTTTTGCTATTTAAAGGAATCATATTGTAAAAGTAAATCCTTTTGTAAGTTATTTCTTAAGTGATCTATTTAAAAATATGGTAGACTTTATTATTTCTCTTCTTAAAACATATTTGATTTTGTAAATAGCTAAACTTTCTCACTTTTGTCACTGACCTATGTTTAAAAAGGCTAGAAAACCAAAAGTCTTTCTAGTTAGTGTGCTCCTGCAGCTGTTTATAATTGTCCTTGTTGAAAGGGTTATTTTTTTTGTTTGTTTGTTTTTGTCTTTTTTCGTGTCCGGCAACGGATTGCAACCCTCAGTGTTGCGCCCGTACCGGACTGGGACCGGCAACGGGATCGCAACCCTCCGTGTCGCACCCGCACCTCGCTCAGCCAGTGAGTGGGAACCGGTCTGTATGTGGGATCCGAACCCTTGGCAGGAGCGCCACCACGCTCCCAAGCGGTGCACTGTAGCAGTGTGCCACCGGGCCGGCGAAAGGGTTATTTTTGACCTGAGCGTATGCTTTCCTTTTTTTGAATTACACAAATAATTCATTATTGTTATAAAGGAAAATATGCACATGAAGAAAATAATTAAGACTTCCTGTAATTTCAGCCATCAGAAATAACCACCATTACAAGGTGATGTATCTGTTTCCAGTCATCTTTCAATGTGTACATATTTACTTTGGGTCATAATGTATATACCATTATTTAATTTGCTTTTCTCAATGTTATAGCAGTAGCCTAGTATTGGAGTTAGAATTTGATATGTGCCAATTTTTTTGTTGTCACAATTCTGAAATTTTCTAAGGTGACTATTGAGGTTTGTATATGACTCCAAAATGAATACTATTGAGTGAATCAAGAGCATAATATTTCTGCAAATACTTTTTGTTTCCATTCATTTTTTAAAGATGCTATAATTGGAGAAAATGTTTTCTTTGACAAAAAAAGTGCTTCATATTGTTGAATCTTGAAAAGATGAGTGAGAATGTTTGGTTATGCTTGTAAAAATTACCATTTTTTAAATTCTTTTATTTGTATACTCGAAATCATGAAGTATTGCAACTTTTAGACCTCCTCTAGAATGTACTTATTTTCACAAGCATTCTCAGAAAGGCCAGATTCTTGAGAAGCTTTTTAAGTGCCACAGATAGTACTTCAACATTATTTTTGATTCCTTTGATAGATTATTTATGGAATGTTTGGAAGGGAAATAACTCAATGAGAGAGACAGAAAATGAGCAAGCAGCACTTTGCTTTAATTTTTAGTTTCAAAGCCCCTGCTTATTTGCTTTTGTTTTCTGGTCCTTTTATCAGGGGAAAAGTTATATTTCATTAAATCTTAAGGAAAGTAAACAGAAACTTACCTCTGATAGTCTCTGTGTCAGTAAAATAATTTTTTTTCTACAGTTGTAAACACTTCTTAGTTCTTCAATAGGTGGGTATTACTCAGATACTAGTTGAATAAATGGATATATTTGCTTTATCCTCAAATGACTTTACCTCTAATATGATGGTACTCTTTTCTCCAAAATAAATAAAGGTTGAATCTGCATGGAATATTAGAAAACTGAGTCCAACACTGTGCTGGTTTGAGGTATGATTTCTAGTTGTAAGTGTTTAAGTTTTGTTGTTCAGAAAGTTATTTTTCTGTTGTCATTACTTCATTTTGGGTAATTCAAGCAATTCTTTGACTTAAAGCTTAGAAGTTTCTTTTCCATCTTTTTAATAAAATTCTGACAATGAAGCCAGGTTGGGTATTTTGGAAGCTGGGGGAGGGCAAATACACTTTGGAGAAAGAGTGAGACACGGTTTATTGGGGGAGAATTTGGGGTAGAGCTGGAGGCCTGACTGTAAGTTGGCATTTATCAGGACTCCGATCTCAAAGATGGGAAGCAAACGTAGGTGATAATTGGCCACCAAACGCTTAGGGTCTGTGCTAAGCGTTTTATACATTATTTCATCTATTCCTTTCAATAAATCTGTAAGGTAAGTATTGCTGGTTTCACAGGTGAGGAAGCTTAGATCACATAGCTTAAATAACTTATCCTAGGTCCTAAAATTAGTATGGTTAGATTTAATAACTCTTTTAGTATAGTGATAACTGGTTTTTATGTCAATTTTCTAGAAAATAGTGGTGCAGGTCTCACCCAGAGTATCAAAGGATGATGATATCTATAAATTTCCTAATTTTGAACAAACTGTTGTACATCAAAACAGTAATAAAAAGGAGAAACTGTGAAAAAGTATGAATTTAAATAATTGATAATTGTAAAATCAATTAAGACAACTATTATTTTTTAAGTTGTAAAATCAAGATAGTTTCATGGCACCACTTAGTTTCTATTATATCTTACCTATTATTTGAACAAAAACAGTTACTTCAGAGAATCGTAGTACTCCAAGAATGGTCCACTGACCAACAACTTGACCAGCAGCCTCAGCTGGGAGCTTGTTAGGAAGACAGAATCTCAGTCCTATGCCAGACCCACTGAATCAGAATCTGTAGCAGATCTCCAGGTGTTCGTATGCGTGTTGAAGAGGGAGAAGTGCTGCTCTCTAGGCTTCTTCTGGGCTCCTCATATTGCTGTGGTCAGCATATAATAGAGGAATTGGTTTTTGTAATAATTACACTGCTCTTATGTTGGAAGTAGTTGGTGACTGGGTAATTTCATAGTATAGTTACTAAAGTTCACATTAAGATTTACCTATTTATGATTTTATTTTGAAATCTTTATTGTTTTTGAGATAATTTAGAATTGCCAGACATATCAATAGCTCTGTTAACTTTTATAAGTGTTTGTTTTTTGCTAGAATTTTTTGAAAGTTCTTTTTAGATATTAGCTATTCTTTTTCACGTACTCAGTTTTCTTAATTAGATGTCTCAGCGAAGGATTAATATACATGGAAATTATCTTGTTCTCAGTTTTATATTTTAAGTTTTTACATATGATTTACATTTTTATTCTTTTCTTATCAAAAAACAATTGAAAAACAGTGTTGTAGAAAATTTCCTTTGCCTAGTACTTTTAATAAGTTTTGAATTGCTAATGGTATCAGTTTGTTATGGATAAAACACTTTTTTCCCCAGAAATCAGTAGTGCAATTTCTCGATCAGTGAAAGCAAATTACTCAAATAAATATCACATATTACTCATGCTCAAAGCAAAAAAAAAGTGGGAGGACTGTGAATATACTTCGCTAAAGAGTTCTCTATCCTTTATCTGTGCTATCTTGAATGGCCTTAAAAGGCAAAAACATGAAACATCATTTAAAAACGTCCTTTTTGTGCGTGTGTATTTTGTTAATGCCATGTGTTACAGAGTCTTATTTGTAATTCTTAAGACTTTTTAAAACCCTCCTGTTACATATGTGGTTTTTAAGGAGCACTTGTGATATGTTTATATAGTGTGGGAAATTACAAAGACTACGATTAAGTAATTTATTGTAAGGCATACAAAAATAATCTCATTTCATGGTTGCTACTTGGCTTCATGATGATCCAAACTTATTATAGGTTTTAACTGAGAATAGTTCCCCATTTCATTGTGTGCTTTTGTTTGTGTAAAATTTTATGGAAATGATTACTTATTAAAATGTATACAAAAATAATCTCATTTCATGGTTGCTACTTGGCTTCATGATGATCCAAACTTATTATAGGTTTTAACTGAGAATAGTTTCCCATTTCATTGTGTGCTTTTGTTTGTGTAAAATTTTATGGAAATGATTACTTATTAAAATGATATTTCACAGACTTGGACTAATGTTCATGAAATCCTGGTGTCTTTTGGAAGAAGAGTTTTGTGCTACCCACTTTACCGCCATTTCAAGCTGGTGATGAAGGCTTACAGAGACACTATAAAGATATTGCAACTAGGTAAGGTATTCTCATGCTTGCAGATTTGGGAGTGAAAAAGTTGTAGATTTTTAGTCTGTGAAGATGTAATAATGATTTTTGCTTTTTTTCTATAAATAAGTATTAGAAATCACCTAATCAACCCCCCCCCCCGCAGATTTATAAGGAAATAATCCCTCTATATAGATATATAATCATACAGAGGTGTGATAACTCTTTTCTGAGAGGAATGGGGAGGGTAAATAGAGAAGGTACACACAGTATTCCAAACCATTTTGTATTAGAGTAGACTGCCTATAATTTTCTAGACCCTGCGGTAGGACTGTGGGTATAATAATAAATAAGATAGATAAATTCCCAACTCAGCAAAGATTACGGTTTTGTCAGAGAGGATAAATAAGTAAACAGTTCCAGTGGAGAGTGAGAAGTGTTCTGCTAGGAGAAGGACAGGGATGTTTAGGAGGGGACATATAACCTAGACTTAGAATGTCAGCTTTCCAGTGAAAAGCGCAACTACTTTGAGGACTTTTGACTATTGGTAAATTCGTCCTGAAAAGACAAATACTTAGTAGCTTTAAGTATGTGGAAAATTCTAGGCTCTGAAACAA